TGTAAGATCTAAGTCAAATATGTGTTATATAAAATAAATTATATTTTTAAAGAAATTTTAAACTGTATATCAAATATTTGTTTAATGATAAATTATCGAAACTCGTAAATCATAGTTTTAGTTTTTACGTGTTATTAAATTAATGTAATCTTTTAAAATAATCTCTATGTAAACTAAAACTTATTGGTATACTATAGTATTTAGATACGTGCGGATACTCATTATACGTAAAAGTCTTTGGTAATGTAGAGAAAAATCCTTTTCTAACGAAGCTAACTACTCGTTTTTCCCTTTGCCGTTAAAAGACTCCAATTGATCATCTTTCTCTTTCTCTCTTTATTTCTTCACTATTTTTTCTCATTTTCTCATTGGAATAACTCTAGTTGCATCTCCATTCGTTTGCAACAACAATTTTTCTTTTTTTTTTTTTTTTTTCCTAATTACTTCTTTCCAATGTGTATTTATTTTTGTTTTTTTATCATCAAAACACTTTGATAACCAATATTCTTGATCGAAATTTATTGTAAATTTGCATCGATAATTTCGCGTCGTTTATTATAATATTTTTCATATTAAATGCACATACGATTGAAATCTTTTTTTTTTTTTCAAAAGAATCGATACGATATAATAGACACGAATATTTAAGAAGTAAAAAGAAAAGAAAAAAGAAAAAAAATTAAAAGAAATAAAAGTATACTTACATCTACATCGTTTAGTATATCTTTGTCAAGTGTAGGTAACGCCATTGTCCAGTCGACCAAAATGGTGAAGAACAACGCCAAAATTACTACACCTCGTAAGAACTTCATTTTTCTTTTTCTACAACAATAGAAAGAAAAAAGGAATCAAATAAATCTTTCAACGATCAAATATTTTCTATATAGAAAGTATCTAACATTTTCCCTAATGAAAATGATTTATTTTCATTGACAAATATTTCAATACTGTGTATAATTAAAAAAGAAAAAAAAAAAGAGAAACGAGTAATGAATAAAATATCAGAGATAGTCCAAGAGATTGCAAGAAAATTCTAATGAAATTTCTCCTCGAATTAATACCTTTAAGAAAATTGTTAAAAATTAGAAACATTAAGTTTAACGTTACATATAATACGGATAAAAAATATAGATAATTTCGAGTAATAAATATAAATCGTGTTTGTCCAATCGTGTAAAAAGAAACGCAAGGAGAGGAGAAAAAAATAAATATAAAAAATAAGAACATTATTACGCAGGACGTAAAAGGTTATCAGTAAGGATTAGGATTGAGACCTTTACAGACTCAGCATGATTTTTGTCAAAAGACCTTTGTTAATACGTCGTTAGGTTTTCCTACTCGTATCACCCTAAGAAGGGTAGGAGAGATAAAAAAAAGGGACATGGTTTGTTCCCATAAACTATGTGATTTTCGTGTATCCTAATGGTAGCTAAAAAAAAAAATCAAAATCTTCTCTTCCTGGTACGAGTATACATATATCATATATAAATATTATATTTTTATATATCATATATTTTTTTTTTACCATCGATTACAAGCCACTCTGTATATATATATTACTGTAAAATATTTATTAATATTAAATATAATTACCGTGTATGAGTATAAAACGTGTTTTTATGCTTTCATGTTTGTTACAGGTTGTTACCTGAATATTTTGGTAACTTTTTTTGCATGCATGTAGTATATACATCTGCATAGGTAAATGTAATATTTCAAAACCGATCATTTTTAGTAACACATATGTGTAATGTTTGTGAATATAAATGCGTTTCGAAGAATTTTTATCGTTTTCCCCGTATGATATCGAATTCATAGAATTATAATATATGTATGTACGTAAAGGATACGTGTAACGATTACTAAAATTGCGCATAAAATTTTCAAGCAAAAATAAAAAAAATAAATAAAACAAGATAAACACCGTAAATAATAAATAAAATAATTTTAAACACGTAGGAAGAATTGCGAGGAAAGATAACGCGAATGAATATTAATGTTTTGCATAAAATATTTAACAAAAAAAAAAAAAAGTAAATGAAATAAACTAAAACAACGATGAAATAATAAATCGTTTTTCGATCAAATTAAAAAGCAAAGATCGTGGATCATGCGAAATAAATCGAACGAATTTGGTTAATTGTTTTTCGAATTTGTGAAAGAGTCAAATAATTTTTAATTTTTATAAGATGTGCTATTAAATTTTTGCTTTTTCATTTTCTTTTTTTTTTTTTTTCTTACTTTCATAATACAAAGGATTATTCACAGACATTCGCTTGTAAGTAACACGAATGTGTCTGTCAATTTTCGTTGAGACTCATTTTAAATAAATCCTTTTCAAACATTATCTTCTTTCACCATGAAACGTGTCTACTCAAGATCGGATTAATTCATATTCAAATTTCATTCGATTATTTCTTTTTCGTCGATAAATGAAAAATTAAATAGAAGAGTACAGCGAATGAATTTTTAATGGAAATTTATCATTTTTTTTATTAACGTAAGATAGATCGATATATTTCTAATTAAATTGTCTTAATTAATATATTTACTCGTTATTAACTTAATAATCATTAATTTATATCTATGACAATTCGTGTTGGTCAAATTATCGATAAATAATATTTTATAAGCCCCTTAAAGATAGGCAACACGCTTTGCATACGTGTCAAAAGCTTAACGAACGTAAACGGGGCTTGACATTTCTTTTGAAATATAAATTACAGTTACTTCGATATATTTTCCGTTTATAATCTATTTACGTATTAAAAAAGCGAGATTCAAAGAATGTGCAAATCTCCGTTGACATGTTAAAAGGTTTAAATCTTTTATATTCGTATCTTTTCCTTCTTTTTCTTTTCTATATTTCTCTTCCTCCTTCTTTTTCTTTTCATGGTTGTTCTTAATCAAGCCATAAAGCTGCTTACAAGAGCTTTTAATGCTTCTTGCAAAAAAATATAAATTTTTTTATTTCTTTTTTCTCTCTCTCTTTGTCTCTCTTTCTCTCTCTTTTTCTCTTTAGTTTCCTATTAGATAAACGTTCACATTTATAAAGAAGGAACATATGACTATGGAAAGGTATTTAAGCAATCTAATCGTACTTAGTCGTAATTGTAAATACATTTTCTTTTATCTTCGACCTATTTTCATGTAGATTTAGAAGAATATAATACTCGATAAATCGGTACCAAATTCGGTAGAAAAAAAAAAACAGATATTAGAAAAATTTAACAAAAAATTTGTAATTTAAAACAAATTTATGAGCAAATCTATCGATCCTGAAAATAATTAAAAAATGAATTAATTAAACGTAATATATATATACCTGGTCAATTTGTGATATTTATTATGTCATAAATTATTAACTTATAGAATAACTCTTCACATTAAATAATTATTAAAATTATTTACATGACAACATTTTAACGATACTCTATTTAATAATTAATAAATTATATTAAAAAGAAATAATAGCAAAAAAAAACCAGAGAAATAAATTTAAATATAAATTAAATAAGCAATAGAGATTAAAGTTAATCGTTTTATTTTTAAAAATTAAAATTTTCCAACTTAAATTTCATTCAATTTCAATGATTTCTTTTAACACGCATAATTTGGCCCAATTAAAAGAATTCTTGTATTTTTTTATTTCTCAAAGTTCGAATCGATGATTAAAATTGTCTATTGTTCGGGAATAAATTATTTCTTTCTTTATTTATTTTTTGCGATCATAAGAAAATTAACAAGCAACGTAAAAAAGCACATCAATGAACAAACTTAAAAGTTGCAAATTGTTCGAATAGTTTCTTAATTTTTTTACTCAACTCGTATTTATCCTTTTTCCTGATTGTACTTTATCGTAAACATTTATTTTCATTATTTATCGGTTATAGTTACGAAGTCATTGTTAAATATTATTCGTTGGTCCAATGGGGTAAATAATGATAAGAGTTAGATTTTCAATCAAACTTTATAAATTATCGAATTATGTATCTACCAAACTTAGATGCTTCTAGGGTTTTATACGTAACTATGCATCTTGCGTTTTAATAAAAAAGAAAAAAAAGATTATGGTAAATTTAATTGAAACTTTACGAAAAGATAATACTTATACAATATTAACCTACCCACACGTAAACTCAATACATATTTCATTATTCGAATTAAAAATATCTCGTAGAACAAAAGTTATTTAATTATTTAACGTGGAATATCCTGCGATAACAAAAAAATATACCACGCTAGTCGATCGATTGAAAAAAGTTCCGAATTTAATAAAGAAAACAATTTTTTTTTTTGTTATCCAACAAACTCACTTTTTATTATTCGATACGGTAGCCGCACTTTTAAAAACGAAAAAGAACAAAAAAGAGGCTCGATTGTTTAATTTATAATAGATTCGAAATTTTTCCACGCACCTTTGAGTAAGTTTCTACTTAAAAAAAGAAAGACAAAAAACTAAGCAAAATTTATCTCGATAAATGTGATACTTTTGGCTAAATTAAAAAAAATATAAATGTGAGATAATTTTGTCCTTTTATAGTTTGAATAATTTTCGTTTAAAACATTTGGGGAAGGGGGGGGGGTTAAATTTAAACCAATATTAGACATTAGCGTTTCTTCTTTGTTAATTATTATTAAAATAAAAAATAAGAAGAAACATATTATGCAAATCATATATACTTTTACTAGATACTTAGATATTCTACAAATGTTTGTACAAGTCCCGTGTATGGAGGTGTCAACCACCATTTTCGTATTAATCGTCGAAAACGTTGAACTCTTACGAAAAAAAGCAAGTATTTTTATTTTCCCTTTTTTTTTTTTTATGGAATATTAACGAACTCCGAATCTAAAGTATGTATACTTTCCTAGGGGTGAATGAGAAATGTACTACAATAAGGGTTTGGTTGGCAGACAGGCCTTTATCAGGAAAGTATCAGAAATTTTTATCGGAAATAAAAGAAACGAAAATGAATAACAACGTAGAATAAAAAAAAGACAAAAAATACGAAAGTAATACTAAAATAAGGTTCAAATTTTCAATAATAATCTTCTTGATTAGATATTTTCCTCTTTTTCCTTTGACAACGAATTAGTAAAATGTTCTCAAGTTTCTATTAATTTTGATTTCTAAACAATAGATCCGTTCTTTTCAATTTTACTTGTATAAATAAAAATGAAGAACTTTTGTGAATTTGATTTATTCGTTAATTTTCTTGTTCTTTTTCTTTTTCTTTGGGAACGTTTTTCTATTTACTTTTAGGAAAAAAATATTATGATAGCAAATGTTTGTGCCCGATGGTATTATATATTGATGATAACCACTTTAGCTTTGAGAAATATCAAATCAGTTGATAAATATTAAAATCGTTTCGATAAAACATTTCCCTTCCATTTGTTAGTCCAAATGGATCCTATACGGATATCACATATACGAATATCTCACTTATCTTACATCAAATCTTTAGAATATCATCTAATTTTAAGACAATAGAATTTATTTATCTGATCTTGATTGATCATTTTTCTCGTGTTTATTTTTATTTTCATTATTATTTACGTCCTTTTATCGTATTTGTAATAAATCAAATTAAATTTTTAACACGTTTTTAAAATAATCGATGGAAAAATTCGTTATAACAAAGTTTAATATATTAATTATTTTTACCTATTTCTATCTAATTATATATGTTTCTCATTAATACAATTATGATCTTATTATTTTTTTGATATTCAACATAATTAAAATTGAAACTTTTATTAATTAGAGAGAGAAAGAGAGAGAGAGAGAAAATAAAAATGTTGCTCATAAAATAAAGAAAAGTTTTCATTGATTATATAAAATTCGTTCAATTATTTGATAATAATTTTTCATTGTCCGAGGAAGCATTAACGAACCCGAGAAACGTAAGTAAAGAAGTTTAATGTAGAACATCTTCGTATTTCTCTAATTAATCTAATTACCTTATTGAAGGATAGTCGCTTAACCGCATTGCCTTTTCGAAGATAAGAAAAAARAAAAAAAAAAAAAAGAAAAAATTGATCAAAGCTGAATAACTTGTGTAAGTAACGATGATAAGAAAAAAAAAAAATGAAAAGATTCTCACCAACGCGTCTTATTTTTTGGTTGAACTTTAAGCGAGATTGTGGCTTTGCAAAAAATAACATTCATAAGTCAAACAAATTGGATTATCAATCAGTCCTTGCAACCACGAAGGGTTGCTGTACCTTTCATTTATCTTTTAAAAGAAACTCCTACTAGTTATACGAATGAAAAAAGGGTAGAGAAGAGGGCGGGGAGGTGGAAAGAGGTGGTGAAAGACGACCGACTGAAAAGTTTATTATTTTCTACTTTCTTCTTACTCTTTTCTCTCGTTTTTTTTTTTTTGACAACATCATTGCTTTTATCAATTTAAAAAATAATATCTAATTATCGATTCACAAACGTCGGGATCTATTCGAATCAATATTTTGACCTGATAACAAAGTAAACCTCGCTTCGAGAAACAAATAAGCAAAAAATGTAATATAATATAACAATTGATAAAAAAAAAGTTATCGTTATAATATAATATTTCATATTAATAAATAATTTTATATATAAATATTTAAATAATAATTATTGTATTTTAGATATTGTAACTATTTATTACTAACATCGATCCATCAATATATAGAAAATATAAGATCACCTCACCCCCCGACAAAAAAAGAAATAATCAATAATAAAAAAAAAAATATTATGCATAAATTATCAATAATATACCTCGAGTAACGATGATCTTCCAAGAAGAAATTGAAAATCGTAGCTAAAGTCGTCGATTTCCTTTTTTTTCTTTCTTCCTTTCTTTCTTTCTTTCAAGGAAGCAGAACAATCCAAGAAGCAATAAGATCAGATGATGGTATTGGTGGTGGTAGTGGTGGCGAGAGGCAGGTAAGGGGTTGTTTATAATCGAAAAAAAATCGCGATCTAAATCGTATACTATTTAGCCCTTTAGTTACTAGTCAGAGTTTCTATGTCAGAATGACTGTGCTTCCAACCACGCGACCACTTTATATTCTCCAGAACGATGGTGGGGGATGAAAAACTCATCCCCCACTATCGCATCCTATCGGTGCGCTTGGTACACCCTAGCGGAATGTTTCACGTGCCGACATTCTATACTACGAATCCCTCTTGGTTGGTTACTAACACGGACAGAGAATTCTACGAACCAAATAAAAAAGGATATCCTCAATCCCTTCCTTCCTTCTTTCCTTCCTTCCCATCAAGTATCTAAAGTATTTTCTCTTATTTGCGTTTTATCTTAAAAAATAATTACACAAATTCTCTTACTTATATATCATAATCTTCGATTCCTTTAGTTTTCCTTCTTATCAAGATTTTTTTATTTTTTATTCCTTTTTTTCCTTTTTTTCTTTTTCTTCCTATTTTATGCGAACGAAATCTTTGTTTCGTTTTTAATTTTTTTTTTGTTTTTTTCCTTTTTCTTGCATTCAGATATTTTTCAAAAAACAAGTAAATAAATAAGAATATTAATATACTTGTGCAAGTTAACTACTCGTTCTTGTGATTTCATTGGTTTGCTATTTTTTAACGTCGATTAAAATTGTAGTTTTTTTTTTTTTTTTCAATAGGTATAAGAAATTATCAAAACGTATGTAACTATGACGCAACCACTCATTCCCTTTGTTAGAAATATTTACTAATTATTATTTATACGTAACGAAATATTTCTTCTTCATAGATTTGCTATTTCATTATCTCACAAAATTTCGATTAAATGAGAATAGAAGTTTATAATTTTCTTATTTTTTTTTTTTCTTTTCATGTTCTATCTTTTTGTTTTGTTTTAGGAAAATAAAGAACTTCAGAGAATAAAAAGAATGTTGCGCATTTCTTTGAGATAAAGTTACTCGTTGTTTTACCTGAGGTCAACAAAAAAAGAGATTTGTGTCACTTGTTGCTGCTCATTTTGATATAAAAGAGGTAGAGAATTTTAATTCTGGATAACACGGCCGAAGTTTTCGTTCGCACGTTAATGCGGTTTTCACTGTGCACTCTACTCCATTCATTACGTTGCACACATTGCATTTTATCATTTTTTCTTTTGTTTTCTTTTTTATTCCTTTTTTTACGCATATGCAGCATTATAATGAATCTCATTAATCACGCGTTCGAATATCTTTCGTAATTAAATTACGTTTCCGATCACTATCATCGTTTGTCATCATTAATCCTACATTGTATTAAGACTTTTTTCATTCATATAATAAATAAATATTACATCATCGAGAATATATAATTTTATTCAATAGCATTCGTTGTTTTCGTTTTATGAACGTTTTGTAAACATAAATGGGACACTGTGTATACGTAACACCTAAATTGTTTATCTTTACGTAACTATTTTCCACAATCACGAAATAAGGGATACGAAATAAGATCAATTTCTTTTCTTTCTCCTTAACTACCACAACCACCACCACCACCACCATACACACCATAACATATGCATACTATTTTGCTTAATGATTCCTCGTTTTGGCAGCAACAAAATGATGATAATTATTTTTTTTAAATCATTCATTCCTTTTATTACCTTAATCGTTAAATTACAATTATCTTTTTACCTGGTATGAGAATTCAATCGAACTTTTTTTTTATAACGTACCCGATAAGCCGACACACACACACAGACATACTTTAAATCTTTTTATTTATTTCCTCGTATTTTGTAGATACCTTAATATATACACATTCTCACAACCAGATCATCTGAGATAACATCTCAACCACGAAAAGGGGGACTGTTTCCGCTATGTTGCTTACCACGAATCTTTTTCGAAACGAGATCAAACAACGTCTCTCTCCTATCACCTACTAGGTGGTTTACTTTGGGAAAAGGTAATTTAAATTTCGATGCGGATTACTTTCGTTTCCCTTTCTTTTTATCTCTTTCTCTCTATTTCTCTCTCTCAATATGTTTCCTATTTTATACTTTAAATCTAGTTCTTTCATTCGGCGTTGTTCAATTTCGATACGACAACTCTTTCCTCTCTCTCTCTCTCTCTCTTTCACTCTCTTTCTCTCTCTTAGTGGAATTAATAGAAAAAGAAAGAAAAAGAAGCAGAATGAAATAGAATATTTTGCTTTTTTTAATATAAAATCAACGAGAAACTGTAGACGTTAAGATCACGGTATAATATTTTTCATAGTTATGCCAACTTAAAAACAAGCAATTAAGAATTCTTTTACTTTTTCCTATTACGCTCGTGTATACCAATTAAAAAATATTTAAATAAACTTGTGTTATATACAATTTTATCGTTAATTTTTTTTCTTATTCTCTCTGTTTTTGTCTTTGGTACCTTTTTTACACGTTTACAATACAACAGTATAATGATTATAAATGTTGTTACGGATAAAATAAAAATTGGAAAGATAAGAAAATTTTCGTTGGGGAAATATAACTGTTACTTTTTAAAGGCTGTCCTCTCTTTTTTCTTTTACCCCCATCACCTTGCTTTTTCAACTACATCGTGAAAAATAAATAAGAACCGTTCATGAGTCGTAAAGTTAAAACATCGAATCGTATTATAGAATTTTTGTTACTACAAACGAGATCGAAGAAACCCGCATGACGCCAACTCGATTCATTTTTCACGTTTGACTTAAGAATTTTCATTTTAATCTAAATATCATCTATTTATTTTCATAAAATTTAAAAATAAGATTATAAAGATAAGAAAAATGGTATCGATGAAGGAAAATTTTACGCGTGCTAATGATAAATATAAGAATATTGTTTTCTTAAATGAACCGCGTATAAATAAATCTATATAAGTATATAAAATAGAAATATATTTTATAAAGAATCACGTCGTCAAGAATTAAAGAAAGAAGTAAAAGAATATTATTTTCAAGGATATTTTCTAACAGAATATACAAAACAAACTTATATTTCCATCGCGTAATAACCACTACCATTGCAGTAAAACTGCAAATGACGTTAATTATAAAACGCCTCTGTACATTTCTTTTACATCATTTCTTTTGTTTTTTTTTTGTCTCTCTTGTTATTAATATAAAAAAGAACACGTAAAGACAAATAAAAATTAATCGAATGATCATATAACTTTGATTTATTTTCGTGACAATTACTTTGTACTTTTCTTCAATCGATGGTATTCATAAATGTAAGAAATAAAAGAAAAGATTTATCATTATTATCACAAACGAGTTAGAAATAAATAATACGTTTCTTATAATAATTACGTTGAAAACATATATACGTTATCTATTACCAATAATTATAACAGAATATATTAACCCCCTGAAGGTATATATATATATATATGCAATACTCGATATGTTTCGTTGACAAATTACACTTGATGAACGTATACTTTGAATAAGAAACATATTTACGAACCCCTGGAAATAGGCAACACACTCGTACACACGTGTAATACGGAATGACAGTTGTAAAGGAAGCTTTAAAAAAAAATACGTCCGGTTAGTATCGCTCGTAACTGCTATTATCGATCAAATGATAAAATGTTGTGTACCTTTAGGTGCTATGTAAAAAAAGGGCTATGTAAAAAAAATACTGTTATATAATATAATAAAATAAAAAATACATTATTTATATGTATTATAGGATTACTTTTTAAAGAAATAAATGTACAATAAATGTAAAAAAATGGAATACATTTTTGCAATAACGTTTAGATTACATTACCACCATATTTTCTGTCTCGTCAAATTTATTTTGTTAATTTTGTAAAAATTGTAATAAATTGAAATGGCAAGCGTTTAAGCGCAATTAACGCAACGTTATTTTTTTTTTTTAACACTTTGCTCGATAAGTATAAGATTTTAAATGTGTTTCTTTTCTCTTTCCACACCTTAACATCTGATATCTCATTTTTTGCATGACAAATTTGTTTGCACAAGGAAATATGCTTAGTTGCGTTACTCCGACACTCTTTTTCTTCTATTATTTTTCATTTTTTTTATCCCTTTTCTTTGCCCTTTTTAGAAAATAGCAGGATTTTTATTTCAAGCATCTTTCGTCAGTAATTTTATAAGAAAAGGTAAAACAACGTCGGGAGATAAGGTAATGTATAAGTTTTATCTTTAAAATGTGAAAAAGAAAAAAAAAGGAAATCTAATAAAATTATTAATGATAATTTAAAAAAATTTATATATATGTATATATGAAGAGAAACGTTACACAAGACTGGAATATAATTCTTATAATGATATCAGTTAGAAAGAGAAAGACAAAGGTCGAGTTTGCACACGTGTCGTAAAACGTATTTCACTGATGAAAACAAAATTATTCATGATTATGAAGAGACTAACTAAAATCTGCATTAAATTCACTACCGGTAAATTTAATTACGTGATGTAATGAAGATAACGTTTAAACGATCGTTCAGTGCCACATAATATGCGGTTATCGAATAAATGGAAAATCAAACGCAAGCAATTAACCCGAACAGTATTTGTCTCTATAATTAGTATTTTATGCAATGTACTATTATATTTATATATATGTATATGTATATACACATATGTATTTATAAATATCTGGTATATAAGAAAAATAATATACATAGTTCCACGCATTTACTATGTTGTAACACAAATAATATCGATTGTAGAAGAGTAGATGTTAAAGTGTGAATATTTGATCAAATGCAATAGATTTCTTTCAGAAAAATTTCAAACGTTGTTGACAGGAGAAAGTATATACTTGCAACAAACAATCGAATTGTCGATACACAATCGAATTTAGATCGAAGTCAACGAGTATTCGCATTTCATTTTCTTTTGGAATTTGTCAACTATTCGTTAAATGACATTTCATATTTATTATCATTTTCTTCAATTTATATCAAATATATTCATAATAGGATTATCCATCTACGCGTATTATACAATTGATATTAATATTTTATTTGATATTATAGTAGCGCCTTAGCATTCGAAGTGTACGGACGTTCAGAGTGTTGATCCGCGTGTT